AGAAGAACGAGGATGAGGGAGGCAGGGGGGCACGAGGGAAGAGGGGAGGAGAGGTGCTGGACGAGAAGGGGATGGTATAAGGAGGAGGCTTATGGGGAGGGGGAGGGAAGAAGGGGTGGAGGAGGTAACGCGGGGAGGGAGGGACGAAGGAGGATCAGGAGCAGCAGGAGGAGGAGGAGGAGGAGGAGGAGCAGGAAGATGCGTGGGAGGATGAGGAGGATGAGGAGAATGAGGAGGATGAGGAGGAGGAGGCGGCGGAGGAGGAGGAGGCCTGACATCTCAGCGTGGCTTCAGCTGCCCCAAGGCTACACGCGGATCCGCGAGAAGGTCAAGGAGCTGCGCGAGAAGGTGCGGGCAGCCCCGGAGAAGCCCCAGGCCCGGGGCCAAAGCCTCGCTCTGGCAGGAGATGCCGAAGGGAGGAGGGCGGGAGGAGGAGGTTGGAGGGGCGAGGCGGGACAAACGGGAGGAAGAGGAGGGCGGAGAAGGGATGCGGAGCGCGAAGAAGGGAGGAGGAAGAGGAGGAGGAGCAGAAGGAGGAAGAGGAGGTTACACCCATGGTTTCGTTGGCTTGATAGAATTGTGGTTCGATTCGCGAATCCGCACACCATCACCACCATACATGTACCGTTCGTGTCCAAATTTCGGTTGTGAGGTAATCTGAGTTGTGTGTTGTATTCACTTCTGTCCTTTCGCACGAGTAGTGCATGCATTATCGATTATGGTATCCTTCTCATCCCCTCTCTTCGTTTTGCGCATCCTTTTGGGGGGCATGGCGATCGCCATGGTTGTATCGGTCGTTTCTCCGTCTCCGTCTTACTATCCTGTCCATACCCATGGTCTACATTGCCTGCTATCCTTTCATCCTTCCCATGGTCATTGGCTTGAAATGTTGCTTCTCCCAGCTATACCGGCTCTTAGTCCCCCATCAGCTAATTACGCATCCGCATATTTTTCCCCGTAGCATCCACATCCGTAACCGCATTGGCCGTAGTAATTATCAGTGTCACGACGCATTCTTCTTCCTCCCATCAGGATCATCCGTCCCCGTATCTTCCTCCTCCTAAGCCTAGTCAGTTCCATTATTTGCATCATGATTTCCGTATCGTTATCATCTATACTCCTTCGCCTCATCTTCATACGCCTCCCGCTCGTACCGCGTCCTCCCGTTCCTGCTGTGCGTCCTTATGCGTGTCGTGGTTCTGTTGATGGTAGCCGTTGCACGCACTTGACAACCTACCCTCTGTCACACCTTTGTATCCGAATATCTTACGCGCGTATCATTTCATTCCCTTTGTCTTCGCCCTGATCGCGTTCCTAAGTGGGCCATTTCTGGCCCACCGAACACAAACAACAAAGATTGGGTTATGCTCAACACTGACGGTTTGAAGCTGTCTTTGCAAACTGCGTGTGGGGAAAAGGGACGCAGCGCACATTTTGCGCGTAAGGCGCACACTTTTTTGGTATGAGATATACGGATTCGCTTGGGCGCGGCGCGCATTCTTCGCTCGTCAAGGTGTCGGCTCGGGGTCCCATGCGGCAGGGGGGATTTTTTTTGTTGTTTTCCCCCCTGTCTCTTTCTCTTTTTTTGTTCTCTCTTTCTCTCTCGAGATCGCCACAATGCCTTGCAGAATTTGCCTGAACGTGCTGCTCCCTCCCGAGCGCGTATCGCATTTGCTGCTATCCCGGTCGTCGGAAGCGCATGCTTCTGCTTCCGCCGGGCCCGCCAGACACATGGCCGCGCGCGAACTGGCCGCACTGTGCCGCCACTCGCCGAGTCCAGCCGCCGCGCCGGGCTTTTCTGAAGCCGGCTTCGCCACTGCGCGGCCCGTGGTCTTCCTCCGTCGAATGGTCGGAGGTGTGGCCGCGCGCCCGCGCGGGCGCACTGCTGGTCGCCAGGTCGCTGGCGCGCGCCGCTCCTCACGCCTAGCTCCAGCGGCACGGGTCTTCATGTTCTGGGAGGGTTCCACGCTGGCGGCGCCCGCTGACTCGCCCGAGCCGGCTCCAGCTCCCGCTCCTGCGCCTGTTCTCACTGCACAATTCAGAGAGGGGAGGCGTCACGCAGTCGTCCTCGTCGTCGCCGTCGTCGCCGTCACCACCGCCGTCGCCGTCGTCGTCGCGGCCGTCGCCGCCTCCGTCGCCACCGTCGCAGCAGCACAGCAGCAGCAGCAGCAGCAGCAGCAGCAGCAGCAGCAGCAGCAGCAGCAGCAGCAGCAGGGGATGCGTCGCGGCGTCGTCGTCGCCGTCGTCAACGCCGCCGTCGTCGCCCTCGCCGCCCTCGCCGTCGCCCCTGTTGCAGCGGCACGGGGGAGGGGGGGCCGCCGGCCGCCGCCGTCGCAGCAGCAGGGTGACGCGGGCGCTCTCCCGCCCCCCGCCCTGCCCGGCGCAGGCCGAGCGGCGGGCCTCGGCGGGCGCGGAGGCCAAGGACCGCGAGCGGCGCCGCAGCCGCAGCCGCAGCCGGCGGCGGGGCAGCCGCAGCCGGGAGCGCCGCCGGAGGCGGTAGCGCCGAGCGCCGGCGGCGGCGCCGCAGCTCTGCGGAGGGGCGGCCGCGGCGGGCGCCGGAGCCGCCGCCAGTAGGACGCAGCCTCCCGCTCCCGCGTCGGCCCCGCTTGGAGGACAAGGCTTCGGGCCGCGTCGGGGGGAAGAGGAGGGGGATGAGAGGGCGAGGAGGAGGAGGAAGAGGAGGAGGAGGAGGAGGAGGAGGAGGAAGGAGGCGGAGGAAGAGGGAGGAGGAGGAGGAGGAGGAGGAGGAGGAGGAGGAGGAGGACGAGGAGGAGGAGGAGGGGAGGTCCCCGCCTCAAGCCTAACCAACCCCACTCCTCTCATCCCCTTCACTCCAGCCCCGCACCTCTCCTTTCTTTCCCTCCACAGGTACTCGTTTTGAGTACTACCCTCTTCTCTCCCCTCACCACGTTCGGATTGGCGTCCGCCCTGCCCGCGAAGTGTGTTTTGTTGCGCAAATGATTTCTATGGTGGGTGTTGCATGTGCTTGTCCACTCGGACGTGTACGATCTTGCTGGATTACCATTGCGCTCTGGCCTGGGTCTGCCCCAGCCTTGCTTTTGTTCGGTGTCCGCCTCGTCCGCCTCGCGCCTCCGTCCACCTATTATTGTTCCTCACCCGCGCCTTGGCCATAAACGGCTGCAGATGGTACAGCTGCCTCGTCATTCTTGTCTTCGTCCTGTACTTGCTCCTCCCTATGCAACCCTCCGCCTCTTCTTCCCTGCCCTTCTGCCTCCCCCCCTCCCCTCCTGCCCCTCGCAGCTCCTCCCCTCGTCTCTACTCAGGATCCCTTCCCTCTCCAGCTCGCCCTCCTGCCCTGCATCGAAGGAGCTCCAGTTGCCGCAGCATTAGTTTGCCTCTGCCGACCTGTTTCGCGCGGGACGCTGTCCGATTGTGCGCGCCGTCTCTCTCCACCAAGATGTCGCCCGACCTCTCTTCGTGCTTTCCAGTCCCGTATAGTACACACGCCATGTGTACACACCTTGTCAATGCAGTGGACGAAGCCCCAAGCGGTGCAAGTGCCATGCAGGGATGTAAGGGCCACAGTCCGATTCGACACCCAACTCGATGAATAGCCAAGGTCCAGCGCAACGGGAAGGGCCGTGATGCGAGAGGGGGTAGCATGTCAGATGTGGCGAGAGCGCACCCAGCTTGCCCCCTCTTTTCGTCCACACCCCACATGACCTCTCCCCCGACACACACACACACACACACACACACCGCTGAGGGGCGACGGGCTGTGAAGGCCCTCCGCCCTCCCCCGCGTCTGGGGAGCCTTGTCCCCCTCTCCTCGTCCACTTACCAGATTCCGCTCCTCCCCATCCCCCTCCCACAAAAACCCTCCCCGCTGAGGGGGGACCGGCCGTGAAGGGTCCCTCCCTCCCCGCGTCTGGGGAGCCTTGTCCTCCAACCTCTACGAGTGTCGAGTGACCGGTGGCAGCGCTTGTGGGAGCTGTCGCGATCCAGCGGTTCTCGCGGGAAAAGGCGGCCGTCTTCGTCATCAAAGGGGTGGGAGGAGGGGGGAAGGGAATGGGAGGTGGGAATGGAGGGGAGGAAGGGGCAGGGAAGGCAACGGGACGCGGTCGAAGCTCGGCTTGATAATGTTGTGAAGAGCAGACGCTATCGAAGTTTTTCCCAAGCGCCCTCACTCCAAGACGACGGAGTGGATGAACATGTCGACGCCAGAGACCTTGAAACGGCACAGCTGATCGAGTCCCTGTCACAGGACGCTGATGTCGTCGATGATCGGTGGTCTTTGTGTGAGATTGTTTTTTATCCTCTGGGGGGTAACGCTCGTTACCCGGGCCTCTCCCCCCCCCCCCCCCCCCGTAACGGTAACGCTCGTACGCGGGGGGGGTCTCGGTCTTCCCCTCCAACATGCTGGTGCCCGAAGGCATGCGCACTGTGGTGTGGTGGTCGCAGGCGCACTGTGGGCGCTCGCAGGCCATTGCGGCGCTCGCATGCGCGATGCTGGTGCTTGCGGGCTTTGCGCTTGTACTCGAATCGTCGTCGTCGTCGTCGTCGTCGTCGTCGTCGTCGTCGTCGTCGTCGTCGTCGACGGCGCCCGAAAACGGCCTCCGGAGGCCGAAACAGGCGGCAAACGTCGTCGTCGTCGTCGTCGACCTCGTCGCTCGTCGCTCGTCGATCATCGTCGTCGCGCGCGCGGGCGCGGGCGTGGTGCCGGGACCACGCGGCGGGCTTTGCGCTTGTACTCGAATCGCAAGCCACTGTGGTGCTCTCAGGCAGAGAGTGCTGCTCGCGCGCATACTATGGCGATCGCAGAGCGCCCCTGCTTCGCCATACCCCGCCCAGCCCAAGCGTTACCGTTACCCGGGGGGCACGACCCCCCCCCCCCCCCCCGGGTAACGAGCGTTACCGGCCGGAATAAAAAAATGATCTCTGTCTGCCGACTAGTTCCTGAGCGCGACATGCGGCCGCATCTGTTCGTGCTGCTGTTCCCAACCAAACGGTAGGTGGCAGTGGCGGTCAGTTGCCTCACTGGGCCATCCTGGGCAGTCTACTGAACGGATGTCTCCAGCCGAGGCGAAACGCCGACATTCTTCTGCCTGCCAGCGGACTTCCACGGCCGTGAACCCGACCAAATTTTCCAGCTGGTGCTAGGAGCCAGTGTTGAACTTCTTCCTCCCCTTGTCCTTGCCCTGTGACTTGGCGTGCTGATTCGAGTTTTGCTGCACATGTCTACAGCTTGCACCGTAGACTCACTCTAACCACAGGCGTGCCGATCGCTCTGCCAGATGTGACGTCCGTCTCCCTTGTGACCTTCTGTGGACCAGCCGCCGTGGCAGTCTACGAACACTGTGTCCTTGCAGCGTGTCCGCTGTTCGGCCGCTGCCTGGGCCTTTCACGGAGGAGAAAAATTAAGAGGAGACGATGAGGATATATGAGGGTTCCAGTCGGGGTTGCCTCTAGAGCAGCATCCCTTGACACGCATGCGGCCGCCTCGAGCCGCCCTTGCGGCCATTCACAAAGACAGGCTGGCAGAGGCTCGGCGTAGTGTGCAGTCGAAAGAGGTCGGTGATCACCGATCGTCGCGTCCGGGACACACTTGGAAGAAGGAGCGAGGATGAGGAGGAGGAGGATGAGGAGGTGGAGGAAAGAGAAAAGAAGGATGAGGAGGAGCAGGAGGAGGAAGAGGAGGAGGCAAGAGAGGAGGAGGAGGAGGAGGAGGAGGCGGAGGAGGAGGAGGAGGAGGAGACGGAGCAGCAGAAGTAGGAGGAGGAGGCGAGAGCCTCGGCGCTCCGACGCGAACTTGTCCGCAGCTTCGATCTTCGAGCAGGAGGCGGAGAAGGTTACGGTTGAGCGCGTTAGAGGCGAGTCCGAACGGCGGCCCCTATACAGGAGGCGTTGGCTGTCACGTGCCGCTGCGAAGCTTCGAGGAGGAGGCGGAGAAGGTCAAGGTTAAGCGCGTTTGAATCGAGTCCGAACGGCGGCCCTTGTACACTGTAGAGGAGGCCGTTGGCTTTCAAGTGCCTGTTCGAACAGATGGATGCGGGCCCTGCCCTCGCAGAGGCCTGCCCGGGACGGCTCCCCGGGGCCTACATGATAAAAAGCCGCGGATGGGGTCCCGCTGCAGTAACTTGGAGCCTGCTCAAGATTAGCGCAAAGGAGGGAGCACCCCTGACCGCTTTGTGGGGCGAACGGGTCCCTTCATGCAAGGGAGGGGAGGACGACGAACGACGATCCTCTCGACGGGGTGGGGAGGGTGCAGCGGCCTGGTGGAGCGACCCCGCACCCACTCGGCCTGGTGGAGCGACCCCGGGCCCGGGTCCCCTGCCTGCGGCAGCGGCGGCCGCCGTGGCGGAGATCCTCAGGGCGCACGGCTGGAGTTTCCAGACCCCGGAGGTCGCGGCGGGCGTCCTCGGGGAGGCAAAGAAGGCGGGCCTCCTCCTGCCCCAGGGGGGGGCCTAGGCGCCCGCGCCGGCCCTGCGGGAGGGGCGCTGGGCACCGGCCCCGCGGGCGGCGGGGCGTCGGAGACCGGCCCCGCAGGCGGGGCGACGGAAAACGGCAGCACCGGCCCCGCCAGAGGAGCTACGGACGCCGGCCCCCTGGGAGGCGGGGCGACAGGCACCGGCCCCTCGGGCGGCGGGGCGACGGAAACCGGCCCCGCAGGAGGGGCGACGGTAAGCGGCAGCACCGGCCTCGCCAGAGGAGCGACAGGCGCCGGCCCCCTAGGAAGGGGGGCGACGGGGACCGGCTCCGGCGGGGCGACGGAGCGCGGGGACGTCTTGCTCGTGCCGCTCGATGCCCTCGAACACGACATCGAGGCGGACTACGAGGGCGACTGGGCGCCCGCGCACCCCACCGCAGGCGGCGCAGCCCTGGCGGCTGGCAGCGCGGCGCCCCCGCCTGCGTCCACTCCGCGGGGCGCCACGGCCGGCGGCCTAGCGGTGGAGACGCCGCCGCGGGCGCGGCCGCGCATCCCCCGGCGCGCGCCGTGGGCGGACGCGGCCGAGGAGGGCCCCGGCCAGGAGGCGGGCTGGCTCCCGGCCCCCGGCGGGCCAAAGCAGCCGGCCCCGGCGCCGGGGGCCGCGGCGCTCAGCCAGCTGGCGGCCGCACTGCGGGCCGTCACAGGCGAGGGCGCCAGCGCGGCGCTCGAGGCGGCGCTGCTGCTGGAGGCGGCGGCGGCGGGCGACCCCACCGCCCACGGGCCCATCCTCGAGGTGGGCCGGGCCCTGCTGGGGGCCCTCGCGGTGCCGGCCGGCGCGGGCGCGCCGCCGCCCGGGGCCGGGCGCTGAGCGCTGCGCTCGCGCTGCAGGCGACTCGCTCCAGCTGAGGCGCCGCCGCGCTGCCGGCTGAGGGCTGCGCGGGCCCCAGCGGGCGGCTGCCCGCGCGCGCGCGGGGGGCGCGCGCGCGCCGGCCCCCTCCCCCCCCTCCCCCCCCCTCCCGCCCCCCCGCGCCCTCCGTCGTCCTCGTCTGTCGTCCGTCGCTCGTCTGTCGGTCGTGTCGTCCTCCGCTCTTTGCCACTGGGCTCCTCTCGCG